GCTGGGGGAGGTGGCGGCGCAGGTGTGGTGGTGTGTGCGGCGGCGCAAGTGGTGCGATCGGTGCGCTGGCCCATCTGGTGGCTGCATGCCCGGCGGATTCAGTGCCTGGAGTTCGGCGGGCGGCGCGGGATGGGCAGTGGCCTGGTGTGGCTGCTGCTCCGGCCGTGGAGGGTTCCACGGTAGCTTGGCACGTCGGCTGCAGCGGCGGCTGGCATGTTTCGGCGTCGGTTCGTCCGTAGGCGGCATGTGGCGGTCTTCGATTCCTCTCCCCGTCGCCCGCGCTCCACTTCCGTCGATGGACTGGGCTTTTCCCAGCCATGGTCCATCGCCCGTCTTGCGCCCGGCGGCAGGACCGCGCTCGTCTCGCGCCCGGCAGCAGGACCGCGCCCGTCTGGCGCCCGGCAGCAGGACCACGGCCGTCTCGCGCCCGGTAGCAGGATCGCGCTAGTCTCGCGCCCGGCAGCAGGACGGGTCGATGGCGGCTGGTTGGGGGCAGCTCAGGGGTGCGAAAGGTGGGGCCTTTCCACCCGTCTCTATAGGTGGCGTGGCGCTGGGTAACTGGTGAGGTGGCGTCGAGGTCTTGGATGCCGGGGCGGCGGCCCTGGTGGTGGTGTCACGGTGCTCATGGGCAAAGTCCGTGCCTGGGTGCTGCCCTGTGACCATGGTCGTGTGGGCGGCGTGGTCGCCGGGGTGTGGCGTTCGGTGGCGATGAGTATTGGCCGGGGTGAAAACCTGTTCTATCTTTGGACGGACCGGCGGCGGCGAAGCTCGTTCCCTTCCTGAAGGCGTCGTCGCGGCCATCATTGCCCGTCGTGTTGCTCCATGGGAAACTCTTGACTCTCGGGTCGGGCGGTGGCGGCGCCCCGGTGTCGTATCCTTCCTGAAGGCACCGCCTTGGAGCCCACGGTTCGTCATATGCGGCTTCATCTCTTCGCGGTGGCGTGTTCACGGTCGAGGACCCAGCTGCTCTTGTAGTGCTTGGGGTGGTGTTGCTGCGCTCAGCGCTTATGTATCTTGCCTCGGGTGTGTGCGTGTGTTGTGGTGGCGTGCGTTTATACCGGGTTGTTGTTGGTCGATGCTTTATATATAAAGCAGGGCGAAAGTCTTTTTCGGTAATCATTATGTTATATTGTTTGGATATAAATAAACGACACGCGGCCTGACAAAGGTTATACGCTTCACCAACACTTCTGTTTTTTCTCGTAAAGTTGCACTAGCTTCTTGTGACAAAGTACCATGTCTGGAAGATAACTCTGCTACTGTTTGTTTCGGCGTAGAGTGGCAGATAAATCTGATCATCATATTGCAGAATTAGTTTCTACCTCTCTTTTACAGGAATATTGCGTGTTTGTGCATGTCATGCCTAACCGTTTCATTTTTTTTGCGTCCCATGAGGCCGTGTACAATTTAAGTTTCACTGATTTTTTTTTGCATCTGTTTTAAACTCATATAACTACACATGTAAATTATTTTGTGGAGAGGTTACTCCTGTAATTTTGTAGTTCTTCTGCATGAAAACATATCTTTATGTTTTGAATAATTTTTACAAGTCCTTTGGCTGTTGAGAATGTATTTTCAATACCCAGTGAATTTTGTCCGGAGCGCTGTTTCCCCAGAGCTGGATGGCGCCGTGCAACCGTGTCACCGTTTGTCCGTCACCCACTGCACTTGCTCTGCTACCCGTGAGCGCACTGCGCGGCTAGGCGCTCTCCGTCCTTGGCGCGGCGGCTGTCTCTGTTCTGGTGCCGTTGCATGCAGGGCAGTGCAGTGCGGGGAAGTCGCCATTTGGTCTCGGCTGCTGCCTTTTCCAAGATTCTTCTGTCAGTCAGGTACCTTCCCTTCAGTCTATCCATATGGTCCTCTCGTTCCCCATCTACCTACCTGATGCCTGCTAGCCAAACAAGTAGTATCAATCTAACACTAGTCTGGTGTTATCTGCTCTGATTATGTGTACATCAGTCTGTCTAGCCAAACAAGAGTCGATTCCATTGATAGTGCATACATATGGTAGTACCACTTATGTACTTTGTTATTTAGAAACCCAGCCAACTGGACACATAAAAATGTCCCAGTACTACCAAGAATTGCAATTCTGCTGCATAATCCATGCGCCACGGCACACGAAAACAATGCCAACTCTTCCCTGCCCCTTGTTGCGGAGCTTGCATCAGTCAATTATACTTCTACTTGCGATTTTGACCAAGTCTTTGCTGAGTCACACAAGTTGTGGGCCCCACCGAGATGATGTGCCGTCCATGTGGCACCAAAACCAGCTTAAGGCTTACCAGGGTCGGAAATCGACCAATTTCAACAGTTTTTTTGGGGGGTGCGGGGAAATTTGTGTGGCTTCAGAGTTCAGGATTGTAATCGATCTTTTCTATAGGTTCAGGGGCTAATATGCACTTACTCAGGAGATATAGAACACAGCTTTTTATGGCGAGCGCATTGTAGCATGAGCTCTAATATGCCACAAGTCTTTTGGTGTGCAAATTTTGAGAAGCAGATCGTTAATCATCTAATCCAAGAAGATTCAACGATGATATTCTGAGGGATAACACACAAATGTCTACTTAGAATGGATATAGTATGGCAAAGCCTATCTAGTTAGGGTTTAGGATATAGGATTGGAGTAATGAGATGAACAATAGCCATCGGAATATCGGGCAGAGGCTATTAAATAAACTGAAAGGGGATTTGCTTTTTCTTTGGGCGAGCAATATTAAATCAAAAAATCAAAGACGCTTAATTATGTGGTACTCCCTCCGTCCGAAAATACTTGTCATCAAAATAGACAAAAAGGGATGTATCTAGAACTAAAATACATCTAGATACATCTCTTTTTATTCATTTTGATGACAAGTATTTTCGGACGGAGGGAGTACACGCCAACTGGGCCATGTCCATCACCAGCGTAAACTTCGTGTAAGTCACGGCATTTGGACGTGGCACTGTCGCCCATATCGAATGGATACACGTTTACTTGACCCGCAAATCCGTCCAAGAAAACCGAGAACGAAGTAACGAACCACTTACGTTCTGAAAGCACGACCGTCGTAAATATCCGTACGCATTTTTCTTCTGACAAAAAAAACAAACTTAGCTGGAAAACGAGAACCTCAGACCAGTAAACCACTTGACATGCTGATTTTTGTCAGCATCGAAACCGCTCGAGAGATGTCGCACATCAATGTAGAAGATCTTTGTCCGGTTCTAGTTGAAAAGTACTAGTACTCCTATATGGCTGGACAATGGGTAGACCTGTGGGATTCGAGACTGCACATGCCGCAACAACCTTGTCCACCTCAAACAACGACAACAAAGATGGGCGACGAGCTTACTGCGAAGTTTGATGGGTTCCAGGTCTTTGCTGTAGGCGCGGTCAAGCTACGATACGGAGTGCGAATTTCAGATGGGATGCAAATGTGTGGATGTGAGGCCGCTGTAAATGTGTTTTTAAGCCCCTGGGGCCTCAGCCAGCTGAGCAACACTCCATAGCCCACAAACCACCACCACCCTCGGCGATAGTACCAAGCAGAAACTGCTCCGGTACTCTTTTGCTCTCCGGCCGAGCGGAGGTGCGTTTTTCTCCTTAATATTTGCTAAAGTTACTCCATTATTACGCTTCAAATAACTGGCCGCTAGGCGTCGATGCTAGACGCTACGTACTATTTGTTCACACGTATTATCTGTTCATAGCTTGTTACAGCATAGACACTACGTACTTCCGCTAGTAAATATGCAGTTCATAACATGCCACCACGTTTATCATTTACAAACATTTTGCAGGCGAGGAGAGTTGTTTCATGCGTTCTCCCGAGCAACCGACGAAGCTCGCCATGCTTTTACTATTGGCATTGCTGCTGCTCTGTAACGGACTTGGCAACGCGCATTGCTCAACGATCAACGAGAACAGCGTCGATCTGCACTCACTGCTTGAGTTCAACAAGGGCAATGCTAGCGATCCTCAAGGAGCATTGAGTAACTGGAACAACACAACCCACTTCTATCGCTGGAATGGTGTCAACTGCACCTCCACGACACCACCGTTCCACGTCTCGTCACTTGTTCTTGCTAGCCAAAACTTAGCAGGCCAAATTAGCTCCTCTCTAGGAAACCTAACTTTCCTGTTGACCTTTCGGAGAACTACTTTGTTGGCCACATAGCCTGTCCTTGGCCATCTTCAAAGACTACAGACACTTTACCTCAACAACAACAGTTTAAATGGGATAATTCCTGATTCACCTACCAACTGTTCCAACTTGATCAACTTAGATATCTCCGTAAACTCCCTCGTGGGTGTAATTCCTACAAAACTGGTCTTCCTTTCAAGTCTGGCCTACTTAGATCTCTCTGCAAACTCGCTAGCCTGTCAAATTCCACCAAAATTAGACCTTCTTTCACATTTGTCCTACTTAAACCTGTCAGTAAACTCCCTAGTGGGTCAAATTCCTACGGAAGTGGTCTTTCTTTCTGATCTGACTGCCTTGGATCTCTCTAGAAACATGCTAGTGGGTCAAATTCCTCTAAAACTAGACTTCCTGTCAAAACTGATTTACTTGGATCTCTCTATAAATTTGCTAGCAGGCCAAATTCCTCCGAGTTTAGGCTTTCTTCCTAATCTAACATATATCTATCTTCGATCAAATCAACTTGAGGGGAGCATTCCTGAGCTTGGGCGATTGCCGCAATTGCAAGAGCTGATCCTGGGCAAAAATAAGCTTTCAGGTGAACTCCCACATGCCATCTTGAATTCTTCTGGTTCGCTCCAAATTTTAGGCTTGGAATTCAATATGCTAAGCAACACATTGCCACCTAATATTGGCGACCATCTACCTAATCTCATTCAACTTACCTTGTCTGGTAACCTGTTTGAAGGTAACATCCCAGCTTCCCTAGGCAATGCTCAAGGTTTAAAAGTGATAGATTTATCAAATAACAGTTTCACCGGGATAATTCCTACTTCTTTTGGAAAGCTTTCAAATCTAACTACCCTAAACCTTGAGAATAACCTGCTTGAAACAAGGGATAACAGAGACTGGGAGTTCTTAAATGCACTGAGAAATTGTCGGTCTCTAAAGGTACTATCAGTCTCTTTGAATCAGCTGCAGGGATCTATTCCCCAGTCCGTTGGTAACCTACCCCCCAGCCTTGAGCAACTCTTGCTGTTTGGAAACAACTTATCAGGACAAGTACCCCAGAGCATCAGAAAACTTAGTGCCTTAACTAAACTGGTACTAGGTGAAAATAATTTAAGTGGTACAATTGAGGGATGGGTTGGTGACCTAAAAGGCCTTGTATCATTATATCTCCAGTCAAACAGCTTCACCGGCCTAATCCCATCCTCTATTGGCAAACTTACTCGATTGACATATCTGCATATAGGTGAAAATGAGTTCGAGGGCCATATACCAGCCAGCTTGGGAAACCTTCCACTCTTAAGGCTGCACCTTGGCGATAACAATTTCCAAGGGTATATACCATCAAAATTTGGAAACCTCCAACAACTAATATCATTGAATCTCAGCCACAACTACCTCCAAGGTGACACACCTCAGATTAGTACCCTTAAGCAACTTACTACTTTGGATCTTTCATCAAATAAGCTAACAGGGCAAATTCCTGATTCTTTGGGCCAATGTAACGGCTTAGTGAGTCTGCAAATAGATCAAAACTTTATGTCGGGAAACATTCCAACAACGTTTGGCAACCTGTTGCCACTGAGCATGCTTAATATTTCACACAACAACTTGTCAGGCACTATCCCGTTAGCTCTGAGCAAACTAGAGTACCTCATCAATCTTGACCTTTCATGTAATAATCTAGAAGGAGAATTACCAAGGAATGGAGTATTCGGAAATGCCACAGCTGTTTCAATCGAGGGTAATTGGGGGCTCTGTGGAGGTGCGATAGATCTTCACATGCCCATGTGCCCTACTGTTTCTCGGAGGTCAGAGACACAATACTATTTGGTCCGAGCGTTGATTCCATTATTTGGCTTCACATCACTTGTAATGTTGGCTTACATTGTATTCTTTGGGAAGAAGACGTCACGAACAACATATTCGGTTTTGCTTTCTTTTGGTAAGAAATTCCCTAGAGTTGCCTACAATGATCTAGCTCGAGCTACAGGGAAGTTCTCAGAGTTAAACCTTATCGGGAGAGGAAGCTATGGTTCAGTGTACAGAGGAAAGTTAACTCAAGCTAAAATACAAGTGGCTATTAAGGTTTTTGACCTTGATATGAAATGTGCGGACAAAAGTTTTGTAACAGAATATGAGGTTTTCAGTAGAATTCGGCACCGGAACCTTGTACCTATCCTAACTGCATGTTCAACAGTAGACAATAAAGGTGACACGCTTTCAAGGCTCTAATTTATGAATTCATGCCTAACGGGAATTTGGACACATGGTTGCATAACAAATTTTTGAGTAGTTCTTCAAAATATTTGAGCTTATCTCAAAGAGCAATCATAGCTACTGGTATAGCCAATGCATTGGCTTATTTACACAATGATTGTGAAAGGCAGATTGTACATTGTGGTTTGAAGCCAAAAAATATCCTTCTTGACGATGATATGAATGCTTATTTGGGAGACTTCGGCATTGCAAGCCTCATCGGACATTCAAGCCTAGCTACCTCAACTGGGCTGAAGGGAACGATAGGCCACATAGCTCCAGGTATATAGCAGTACATACACTTTCATTTTGATTGCCATCTGTTATTTGCATTAACAAATAAACTTAGAAATGTATTAATTGCTACAATCTTATCTCCTGACAGAGTATGCTCAAAGCGGCAAGGCATCAATCTCTGGGGATGTTTACAGTTTCGGGATAGTACTCTTAGAGATGCTCATTGGCAAAAAGACCGACAGACCCTATGTTTGAGAATGAACTCAACATGGCCAACTTTGTGCAGAGGAACTATCCAGATAAGATACTACATATTATTGATGCACGTCTCAATGGGGAATGCAAGGGCTATATCCAAGCGAACATTGGAACAGAAAATGCTGCATATGGATGCCTGTTATCACTGATGGAAGTTGCTCTTTCTTGTACTCGCCTGATTCCAAGGGAACACATGAACATAAGAGAAGTAACCACTAAGTTGCATTCAATAGGTACGTCATACATTAGAGCAACCAAGCGAGAGCAAGTCATGATTCACTAGAGTGGTTTGCAATGGGTCATGGTCTCATGTTATAACAGGCCGAGTTCACAACAGGCATACATAAGAGAAGAAGATAAATTAGCCTCGGGTACAATGAGCAACGTGCATAATATATAAGGTCACTAATGGATGCTGCCAAGTACTGAGGCATATCATAACAAGATTTCGTACAGGGATGATCTACATCTCTGTACTTCAGACTACTTGGCGAGCATGCTATCCTGGAATAGAGCTTATTCGTCTGCTGCAGTCGTTGCTCCCGCAATATATTGTAAGTATGAGCCGTGCTTTTTATGTTGTGCTTTCATGTATTAAACCCCTGCTACACCTTAGCACCTGTGGTGTATACCGTACAATAATGCTTGGGTTAGATCGC